TGCAAGCTTAATTCGCTGCACCACAGCCGCGTTTTCCTACAACCCGGCCATCACAAGGAGTGTCGTCTGCCGCTGCGTTCGCTCGACCCGCCCCTGTTAGACAGCGTGCGCGAGCGCGCCTTCGCCGCCATCGCCGCGGTAACGGGACCGCGCGACGACACCTCGCGCGCACCCGCCGCAAACGTCGCGCGGCGATCCCGCGTCGGCGGCTGCCGCGAGGGGGCGCCGGCGTCGCGCAGCACCGGGCTGTCGCGGACGTCGGCCGCCGACGGCCGCTGCTCGGGCGCGGACGCGAGCATGCGGCGCACGAGCGCAGCCTCGGCCGGCCGCTCCCGCTCCACGTCCGCCGGCAGCAGCAGCCGCTTCGCGTCGCCGAGAACGCGCGCGCGCTCCATCTGCGTCGAGAACGACGTGAGCAGCTCGAGCAGGACGAGTCCGAGCGAGAAGACGTCGACCTTGTGCGAGTATACGCGCCCGCTGACGAGCTCGGGACTCATGTACAGCTGCGTGCCCACACTCATGCACCGCGACCTCAAGCCCTCCAACATCTTCTTCTCGCTCGACGGACTCGTCAAGATCGGCGACTTCGGCCTCGCGACCGCGCTCGCCGATAACCACGACAACGCCGGCTACGACGGCGGCGGCGCCCCATCGCGGCGCCGCCACACGGACAACCAGACGACGGACGCGCGCGCGACCACGGCGAGTGTCTCTGGATCTTCGCGCAGATCGTCGACGCGGTTCGCTACGTGCACGCGTGCGGGGCAGCAGCAGCGCAGCAGCCGCTCTTCCTCTACATCCAGATGCAGCTGTGCCGGCGTGAGAGCCTGCGCGAGTGGCTGGTCGCGATCGCGTCTCGGGACGGGGGCCGCCGCCTCATCCCGCTCGTGCATCGAGACGGAGGGGTCGGGTTCGTAGTCGTCGTCGTCGCCCGCGGCGAAATCCACTTGGAAGCTGCTGTCCGTGTCGGAGTCGTCCGCCGCGCGCAGGGGGCAACGCATACGACTTCGTCGCCGGCCCCCCGACGACGGCTTCGCCTCGAGCTCGGCCCACAGCGACAGCAGCTTCCGCGCGACCGCCGCGAGACGCGAGTCCTCGAAGCGGACGAACGAGTCGCTCGTCTCGGCGGCGGCGTCTCGCCGGCACGACGCCTCGTGCCACGCCTCGCGGCGCGAACGCCGTCTCGCCTTCCCCGTCTCGTCCGTCTCAGGCACCGAGGCCATGCG